CCTCCCAGGCCTCCCATACCCCATCCCACAAGAACTCACCTCACAGCCACAGCCCTCTCCATAGGCCTGGCTGACCCCACGGCGCTGGCTGGGGGGGACGCTCCCCCAGGAGTGCACGAAGGAGCACAACGAGATAACCAGGTGCTCACCCTGCCGCTCGGCTAGGGGGAGAGGGCAGAGGGAGTGGCTGGCACCGTGCCCCATAGTGACCAACAGCCCCCCCCGTGACCCCCACAGCCCCCATAGCCCCCCACAAAGCCCCCAGATCCTGTAGCCCCCCCAGTGCCCCCCACAAATCCACAGAGTCACCCAATCCCACAGAGCCACACAGACCCACATCCACCCCCACATACCCACAGAGCCCCCAGAACCCCTCCCCAGAGCCCCACACAGACCCACAGAGCCCTCTAAAGACTCCTAGAGCGCCCCATAGCACTGCACTGCCCTCCCCGCCCACCCCCACCCCACCCCCCCACCACACACACAGGACCACTGGGCAGGGAGTGCTGTGTCTTGGGGGGGCCGTACCCGGGGGGCGCTGAATGGGAAGGGGGCCATGTCCAGGGTGAGTGGGGGGGGGAACACTCAGTAGTCAAGATGTACGGGGGGGCTTGGAGGAAGGGCAGGCGGACAAACCTCTGTGTTCACAGGGCTGGCTGGGAGTCATTCCAGATTAAGGAAGTCGGGAGGACTTCTCTGCCTTTGGGGGGGTTGCATCTCGCCCCATGGATCCAATCCAGGGGGTCTTGCTGCTGGGGGGGGGCTCCCGGCATGACCCTGGGGGGCTGCAGGCTCCGAGGGTCGGTCCCAGGACGTGGGGAAGTCGAGTGGCTCACCCCAGTGATCACCAGACCTGTGGGTCTGGGACCAGGGGCTAGTGTCGAGGGGCCCTGGGGAGTATTGGGAAGTCCCCGGGAGGGGGCTGCCCCAGGCGGAGTCGGGGTGCTGGGGTGCCTTACCCATGATGAGGTACTCCTCCTTCCCGTCCAGGGGCGCCGAGTGCTGGTACGCACAGAACTTCTGCCAGGAGTCGATGAAGATCACGTCCCCCGGTGACTCGGGCCCCTTGTAGGTCTGCGGGGAGACGCGCGTCAGAGCAGCAGGGGGCACTGTGGGGAGTGGGGCAGGGGGCTGGCTGTGGGGAGAGCTCCTGGCTACCCCAGTCCTGGCCTGGACCAGCAGGGGGTGCTGTGGGGCGCGGGGCAGGGGGAGTGGGGGGTTGGCGGGGGCTGGCTGTGGGGAGCAGGGGGTTGTTTGGGGGCGGGGGGCAGGTACCTTTGTGACGTTGATCTCATAGCGAATCCAGGACTCGAACTCCTCAGTGCTTCTGGTGGGGCTCGGCGGAGTGACCCCCACGAACTTGCCCCGAATCACTGCACGGCAAAGAGACGGGGGTCAGGGACGCCCCCAGCCCCCCACCAGGCTCATGGTATCTCAAACCACCAGAGTCAACTCTGATATGACCCAGACGATGGGGGGAATCTGGGGTCCCCCTGCCCCTTGGGTCTGGGATTCAGGACTCCTGGGTTCTTCCACGTCTTGGAGGGAGGAGGATTCCCCCCCCACACACTCACTCACTCTGTGGGGGCGTCGGGCTGGAGCAGTGGCCCCAGAATGAGCTCGGAGCCGCTCCAGCGGGTAATAGCTATACTGACGCTGGGGCGCGGGGCAGGGCGGGGTGGGACATCCCAGCTGGGGGGTGGCATTTCTAGCTCTGGGGAAGGGGCACAAGCATTTATTGGTGTTTGGGGGAGTTGCAAAAATTACGGGGGGAACTATGCTGGGGGGTGGGGCAGGATCAGGGGTCACTCACCGACATTGGCCTGGCAGAACGCTGTCTGGGGGTGCC